TATATATATAATATTTGTTTAATGTTTTTGCTTTATTCATCACTCATTTGTACTCCATCAGGTAAATTCGATTACGATCCCAATCTGGAGACCTGCTCCATCGTCAAAGATCGTCGTGGTTATACTTCCAAGACATTCCTTTTTGTTATGGGATTTCTGATACCCTGCTTAGTGATCGTTGGCTGTTACGCTAAGATATTTTGGGTGGTGCACAAGTAATTTGATAATATTTCCGATATTTACCACATTTACAATATGATCTTTACTGTTGCCTTGATTATATTAATTAAAATTTAATCACCATTACAGATCAGAATCGCGATTGCGAAAACATGCTGGATCGACGATAAAGTCACCTCATACGCCCGGAAGGGATATCAGGGAACTCAAACAGAAGCGCAGTGAATGGAGGCTCACAAAGATGGTACTGGTAATCTTTCTCAGCTTCCTCGCGTGCTACTTACCGATCACCATTGTTAAGGTGGCCGATGCGGAAGTCAGATGTCCCGGTAAGAATTATTATTTATTGCACATCTTTTCCGAAATGAAATAACATTTCACATTCTCATCTTCATTTATCACAGCATTACCTATACGCTCAATTTTTCATTTCTATTTTCTTTTCATCCTCTTGAAAATTACAACTTATGCAATTATTATTATTTTAAATAATAAATTCGTTATAATAAAAGAAATTCATAGAAATAGTATCATCATTTTAGATTACTATTTAGCATCGTTCCGTCAAACTGTTTCAGAGTGTCACATTCTGGGATATTTGCTATTGTACTTCGCTTCATGCGTGAATCCAATCATCTACGTAATCATGAACAAGCAATACAGGCAAGCGTATGCCGGTGTGATTGGCTGCAAGTGGATAAGGGCGACCTTAACGCCGTACGGCAGCAGTGTGCCGGGTGGTGCCGGCGGTCTTCAGGCCCATCAGCATGACTACGCCCAAGGTAACTTCGAGCAACGACACGCGGTAACACTCACCAAGCTCTGACCGAGCGCGCGAGCCTAAGCGACCACTCGCTCACTTTGTAAGTCAAGGGCACCACAAGTTTGCTGCTTTCTGTTTTGATCGTCACTTTGGTACCGCTGATCAGTCTGTGTGTATATTTATGTGTGCTAACGTCAATTAATCGCAATCCCTAATTACTAATTTTCTTCTACGCTCTGCATGTTCTTAACTCTACTTTTCATAAAATCGATACAAATAGGCGATGTCAAATTGTCGCAATCGTCCGAATGCTTCTGCACCTTCGATCATCATTATAATATAATTAATCATTAATAATGTGCTAACACACAAAAACACCTCAAGTTTTTTTATCGCAATTCGAATTTATTATTGACTCAGTTTGACTAAATGTAATTCTAATCTTCACCGCTAATTTTTTAATTAATTAAAATTAAATTATATTAATATCTATAGAATAATTATGGAATTTAATTCAAAATTTAGAGGAAAGAGTATTTTATCCTTTTATGACTTTCATGAGTTATAAAAAAATATTATATAAATGTTATATAAAACAGCTTTGTTTAATTTCATTAGTCTCTAAATAACATATACATATTATGTTATATAAAATATAGTAACTATTTAAAAATAATTTGCTTTATTATCGTTTCTCTGTACTTGTATTTGTGTATTCTATGCAACTGCGAATATTGTCATTGAAATGTAATTGTAATTTATTTCTCTGTTAGATTACTCGAAGGATTTCAGCAAAACGATGGTATCGACGGTCTCTATCGCTATGAATCCCGTGAGAAGTTCACAATTCCAGGAGGAACTGTGAGGTGGACTTCGAGAAAATGACAAAAGACGTTTCCCGTTACAAAAAGAAGGGAGAAGAAACGGAAGATGAGAAGAAAAAGAAAGAAAAAGAAAGATTGTTATTGATAACCATGCAAATAGTTATCAAGTTAGTTTGCATAATTTTTTTACCTCATCTAATATAATATAAGAAAATAAAATAATTCATAAATTATTTCGTTAAAGAGTGAAATAATACGAATGTCGAATATATTGCGTTTTTAATTTTTGAGACATTCGCGGAAGAGTCAAAAAGTTATACTTTCTGCTGGATAATGACTTTTACCAAAGATTGTCATGTGTCATTGTATTTTATAATAAAATATAAACTTTGCATTGTCTTTTATTTACATGATTATTAATTTAATAATTTTAAGCGAAAATTATGATAAACAGACAGACTATTGTAATAATAGTTTACGTTAGATTAAAATTATTTATAAAAATTCGTTGTATTTTTTCATGTTATATTTCGTGTAGGAAGATACAATCTGTTCTCTAGGAAGATTATAAATTTTACAATTAATATTAATAAACCATTAAGCTATTTTTAATAAACAATTTTTTTCCTTTACAGAATTTAATATTGTTTTCTTATTTCAAAAGTAATATAATTTAAAAAATCAAGTTTTTTAGAAAAGAAAAAACTATTTTTTAACTTAGCAAAAAATCATTGTTTAATATTTCAAAGAATCTTATTCTATCTTGATATACAGATGATTCGCATTTTCATTATTCGAATAGAACAGCATTTTAGCATTGTTTATTGTTAATTACACTTAAAATAAAAATTAATTATGAAATAATTAATGTATTCTATTAATTTACAGTTATTTGTAAAAATATCACTTTATAATTGAGCACAATTTCGCAGGATCTGTTTATTGCCGAGTAAGCCACTTCTTAGGATTCTCAACTGTTATCAGTTCAATTTCTTCCGTCGTGAAACCCTTATTTATCATGATTGGCACAACATTATTAGCGATATGAGAGTATCCGTGTCCGCCAAAATGTATCTTAAAAGTTAACAAAATGTTTTCAAATGTCTAGTCGCTGGGGCTCAAGAAAACATAAATTTATATTATTATATGAAAAAACAGAAAATATTAGAGAGATCGCGTACCAGGCGATGTTTTGTGTGTATATCGTGACTCATGAGAACTCGGTCCAGTTTTTTCTCTTTCTTCAGCAGCGCAATACGTTTGACACGCTGTGCATCTGACAGAAAATCGACCAATGGATTCAGCTGATAGAAAGAGCATTCGGTGCCGAACAGATCGAATTGGATATAACATTTGGTAGCATCAGCGAATTCCATGAGCTGCTCCTTTTTTATTAACGTACCTATCAAATTAATTTGATTAATCGCAGTGATACAATCAAATGGATATTTAAATTAAAAGTTAAAAATAAGAAAAAAAAGAAAAAAATTGTAACTCTCTTACGATCAACGTGAGACATAATAGCTCTGCTCATATCTCCACCCGCTTCTTGATAGATCCTCATTATTTCCATGGGCGCAGATGCATTCCTTCCAGGATGAAAGCTCACGGAGCAACGTAATTGAGCTTGGACCTCAGCAGTTGCACAAATGGCACGTTTTTCAAAGTCTAATATAGAAATAATTTTTATAATATTTTAGTGCATTTTATATATGCATGTATTTTAATATAATAATATATGTAATATTTTAATACAAGTTTTGCTGAAAGTAGAATGATTCGTAAATAATTGATGTAGTAATAATTGTGAAAAACATTCGATAACTTGTTTAAATACAATTGCGTGTATACCTTCGATCGGCCAAGTACTGCCAACTTCTCCGATAAATCCTGCTTTTACTTCGGGATATTCCAAGCAACCTTCTTCCAACTCTTTGCACATTAGATTGTACATTTCTTCTTTGGTCATATTAAGAGTCGATGCGTTTTGTGTATTGGCGAGGTAATGGCCTGTTTAAATTGAGAAAATTTATAATAAATAATATAACAATATATTATTATGTGATTCTAAATTAATTTTATTAAATAAAATAATATTATTACACATATCATACTATACCGGTTCCCGCAATCACGTTAACTCCCAAGGACTGGCTGATGTTCTTCATTAAAAAAATATCACGTTTCAAACCGTGGCTACTATTATCTACGATAGTTCCGCCACCGGCCTCTTTAAATAATTCTACGTCCTTATAGACAGCTTTTGCCGTGTCATCACCGTAAAATTCCAAGTTATATAAGCTGCTATATCTGATGTAAAACAGTTAAATCCATATTTATTATCTTTAACATAATTTTTATTAATTTAATTATTTATTTCTTGTATGAACATTTTATACGAAACGGACTATGAGTAATGTGATATTTTCGGATCTAAAGCGGGACTATTTTATTTTATTAAACGAAGGGAGAGTAGATAATTTGAAAGTAAGGTATTTCGATTAGACTTACGGATACTGTCGAACGTATCCGACATCTTGGAGAGATAAGCTGCCGGCAGGGAAACGTTTAAGATGTTTCGGCGGTGGTACGTAAAATTTGCGAAAATCAAGAGCCAGATGTTCATGTGTTAGCGTTTTCCCAAGCTCGGATAACCGTTTACTTCCTAGCACTGTATCGGAAAATATAACAACAAACTTAAGTTCCACTATCCAAATCTAACACAATAAAAATAAAAAAAGAAATTATTTTTTTCTTAAGTATTTAATTTCGTTATTCCACTTCTTAATTTTCCTTACTTAAAATATAATTTACTTCCTTATCTATAATTTACTTATCTTCTTTCTTGCTTAATGTGCGCTTACCCGTATTTACACCATCCAGAAAGTTGTCAGTCATTATTATTCTTTATTTCCGTTATGAATAAAGACAGAATTTAATCTCTATATTCTGCACTTCACGAATTGAAAAAAATACAATTAAACGCGCATTCTAAACTTCCATAAACTTAGAATCGGTCGCTTAATGGCATACATTGATCTCTACGAGCTACGATGCAACACTGTATAACTTATAACTATTGCGACGTATTATACTTTCCTTCAAATCGACCTAACTCAACCTGAAAACGGTCATTATCTCTATGCGATCGGCGCTATTCTTAAATACTTAAATGTCTCTGTACTCTTAAATGCCTGATAAAATAGTATCAAAGTTACAGCGAGTAGAATTAACTTACTAAAATGTGTGTTTGTATGTAAGCTTATGCGTTATCATAATTTACAAGCAAAAATAACAATATTTGCAAAATGTCTTTCATGTTTATTGCATCTGACATTCTAAATGCCAGTAATAAAGAACAAATTAGAAAATCATTTATTTTTTGCTTTTAGCAAATAAAAACTATGTTTCAAATTAATTTAAGCAAAAAAAATTACACTTTATTGTTAATTTTAAATTATTCAAAGTTTATTATAAACGTGACATGTCAATTTATAAACAGAACATTATTAATTATATTAGCATGGTTGCAAATGTAAATGATATAACGGAATCTTCCATTTATTTTTTCGGTTGCTTTTAAATATTAATATTTCAGAGAATTAATTTAGATTTAATTAAAAGAACAATCCCATGATAAGTTTCATTGCAATTATTTTTTATCTACTATTTATTATATATGTAAATTTATAAGAGGACATTATTATAGCATGGCGGATAAATGATAATAGCATCTTTTATTTTCATGGAATTTCGCAGAATTTGAAAAATTTTTTATTTAATTAAAAATTACTTTTTCGATTTTAAATAAAAAAGGATAATTATTAATAAGTTCATCATGTTATTTTCTGTAATTTATTTACGTAAATTTATAAAGAGGACATTGTAACGCGCGGCCAACAAATGATAATAGCAATGGTTATCATATAAAGCAAATGTGACTATGACAATATGTATAAATCTTTCAATGATACACTTTCATAGCTTCGTTTTATCATCATATTACCACCGTGTTTGATGATCTCGCAATTATCTGTTCATGACGTTGATTTATGTGTATTCTCAATAATTCTAAAATGATGGTCCATACATGTAAATATCGCTCTATTTGCAGCATATAGATTTTTCGCGACTGAATGTGCTTTCGTGCCGTAATTGAATTGAGTCTCGTATACCATTGTCGAATCTTGAGCTTAGCACCTTGTCCACCAAATAGCGTATCGCTGTTTCTGCAAAGAAGGATATTGAATTAAGAATGTTTTTCGATTAAAATAAAAAAAATACCGAAATGTACAAATTATATATTGTATTAAAGGGCCATTTAAGAAAAGTGATGTATCTTGCGGAAACATTGGGAATGTAGAAGAAATATATCAAAAATAATCTAAAAGTCTAAAAAATCAAGACATCAAAATATTTCGATAATCAATCAAAAATTATTAGTATTTAAATATGATAAATATAATGAGATAAATGTGCTCGTTATTTAAGGCTAGAATTTAGTCTCCTCCAACATCCCTTTTTAATTAGTAATAGCATACAAATTTTTTTATAGAAGTAAAACAATAATGTGTAAGCTCTTGCAATTATAATTATTCTGTCTTTTGTATCTATATTTCTTTTAATATTATTAACAATTAAAAACATTAATGATAATACTAATAATTACTAATAATTACTTTTCAAACATTAATAGATGTTTATGCAATAAGTAAGATAACAACTTTTTTAAGGATATAAAAATATACGAGAAAATTACGCAGAGGATAAGCTGATCGTCCACCTACCAACATTGGTGTTGTTTTTCGCGGAAGTCGCGTACCAAGCGTGTATCTTGTTCTCTCTGCAGAACTTAGAGATCTGCTCGTCGGTCACGGCGACTGATATGTCGCACTTATTCGCCAGGAGTACGACTGGTATACCCGAGCCATCTGGCAGTGCGACCTTCTCCCTGAGATCGTTTAGCCACTTCTTCATCGACTGGAAGGTCGCCGCTCGTGAGATGTCAAATACGAGAGCCGCGGCTACCCTACATATACGTCAAATCAATGAACGAGATTGACAAAAAAAAAATTAAATTATTACAAATAAAAAATACAGTTGAGATTTTTCAGATTCA